CACCCGCCTCGGCCTCCCAAAGTGCTGGGATTACAGGCTTGAGCCACCGCGCCCGGCCATTGCCTGTTCTTAACAGCCAAGGTGATCTTGTTAAAAACAAAACAAAAAAAACCAAAAAAAAAAAACCAAGATCACAGCCAAAGTAATCTTGTTTTTTTTGTTCTTGTTTTTTTTCAGACTGAGTCTTGCTCTGTTGCCCAGGCTGGAGTGCAGTGGTATGATCTCTGCTCACTGCAACCTCTGCCCTCCCAGTTCAAGTGATTCTCTTGCCTCAGCCTCCCAAGTAGCTGGGATTACAGGCACCCACCACCACAACCGGCTAATTTTTATATTTTTCGTAGAGACCTCAGGTGATCCTGACCTCAGGTGATCCACCCACCTTGGCCTCCCAAAGTGCTGGGATTACAGGTGTGAGCTACCATACCAGGCCTGATCTTATTTTTTACTTAAAAGTAAAAGATAGTCATTGCTGCAGCCTATAAGGCCCTTCCTTCCCCATTACCTCTCCAATCTCATCTCCTACCATACTCACCCCTCACTCATGCTGCCCTAGACACAGGCTATTTGCCCTTTCAGGCAAACTCCCACCTCACGGCCTTCACACTGGTGGTACCCTCTGTCTGGGATGCTCTCTCTGTCTGCTCTCTCTCCAGGTATTACTTGGCTTCTTTTTTTGAGACAGAGTTTCACTTTGTTACCCAGGCTGGAGTGTGCAGTGGTACCATCTTGGCTCACTGCAGCCTCAACCTCCTGGGCTTAAGCGATCCTCCTGCCTCAGCCTCCCAAGTAGCTGGGACCACAGGTGCGTGCCACCACACCTGGCTAATTTTTGTATTTTTTGTAGAGATGGGGTTTCACCATGTTGCCTAGGCTAGTCTCAAACTCCTGGACTCAAGTGATCTGCCCACCTAGGCCTCCCAAAGTACTAGGATTGCAGGTGTGAGCCACTGTGCCCAGCCTTGGCTTTTCTGACTTCCTTTCAGTTATTGCTCAAATGACACATTCTCTGTGATGATCCCCTTTCAACCTGCAACCCCACATACTCCCATCCCCACCTTATGAGTACTCCCAAGCCCTCTTAGTTGCTCTCATTTTTCCAGAACACATATTAACCATAGTATATTCTTGTTTATTATGTTTGTCTCTCATATTCTCCCAGTGAGAATATAAGCCCTATCACTAAGATAGGCACTTTTGTCAGTTCCTTTTTTTTTTGAGACAGAATCTTGCTCTATTCCCTAGACTGGAGTGCAGTGGCTTGATCTCAGCTCATTGTAACCTCTGCCTCCCAGGTTCAAGCGATTCTCCTCCTGAGCAGCTGGGATTACGGGCGCACACCACCACGCCTGGCTAATTTTTGTATTTTTAGTAGAGATGGGGTTTCACTATGTTGGCCAGGCTGATCTCGAACTCCTGGCCTCAGGTGATTCGTCAACCTCAGCCTCCTAAAGTGCTGGGATTACAGGTGTGAGACATCGCGCCCAGCCCTTTTTTTCTTTTTGGGATAAAGTCTGGCTCCGTCACTCCGGCTGGAGTGTAGTGGTGTGGTCTTGGCTCACTACAACCTCCACCTCCTGGGTTCAAGCAATTCTCCTGCCTCAGCCTCCTGGGTAGCTGGGATTACAAGCACCTGCCACCATGCCCCATTAATTTTTGTATTTTTAATAGAGATGGGATTTCACCTTGTTGACCAGGCTGGTCTTGAACTCCTCACCTCAAGTGATTCACCCACCGCAGCATCCCTGAGTGCAGGGATTACAGACGTGGGCCACTGCACTTGGCTTTTTTTTTTTCTGTCTCTCTCTGTGGCCCAGGCTGTAGTTTAGTGGTGCGATCTTGGCTCACTGCAACCTCTGCCTCCCAGGCTCAATGAGTTTCCCACCTCAGCCTCTTTAGTAGCTGGGACTACAGGCTTGTGCTACCACATCTGGCTAAATTTTTTTAGGATGGAGTTTTACTCTTGTTGCCTAGGCTAGAATGCAATGGTATGATCTCAGCTCACTGAAACCTCTGCCTCCCAGGTTCAAGTGATTTTTGTGCCTCAGCCTCCAGAGTAGCTGGAATTACATGTGTGCGCCACCACGCCCAACTAATTTTGTATTTTTCGTAGAGATGGGGTTTCTTCTTGTTGGGCAGGCTGGTCTCGAACTCCCGACCTCATGTGAACCACCTGCCTTGGCCTTCCAGAGTGCTGGGATTACAGGTGTGAGCTCCCGTGCCCAGCTTTTTTGTATTTTTGGTAGAGACAGGGTTTCGCCATGTTGCCCCAGGCTGTTGTCTGTTTCATTGAGTAAAGCATTCCTAGTGCCCAGAACACTGCCAGGCACTCAATATTTGTTGGATGAATGGATAACATTAGTAACATTTTGTTGACTTAGTTATAAACAAGACCTCCTTCCCCATATTAGGCCAAAGCTCCCTGAGGACAGGGAATATATATTATTCTGGACCCTTAATAAATATTGACTGACTAGATGAATAATGGGCTGTGTGAAAACAGGGAGGTGAAAATAAGCTGGCTATGTTTCGGTTGGAAATTAGGTGTAAGGGTCAGGTGCGGTGGCTCATGCTTATACTCCCAACACTTTGGGAGGCTGAGGCGGGCAGATCACTTGAGGCCATGAATTCAAGACCAGTCTGACTAACATGGTGAAACTCCATCTCTACTAAAAAATACAGAAATTAGCCAGGCATGGTGGCGCATGCCTGCAATCCCAGCTACTTGGGAGGCTGAGGCATGAGAATCACTTGAACCCTGGAGGCAGAGGTTGCAGTGAGCCACTATTGCGCCACTGCAATCCAGCCCGGGCAACAGCAAGTCTCCATCTCACCAAAAAAGAAAAGAAAAAGAAAATTAGGTGTAGGAAACAACTTTTGGTAAAGAATAAAAATTAAGTCCGGGCATGGTGGCTCACACCTGTAATCCCAGCACTTTGGGAGGGTGAGGCAGGTGGATCTCTTGAGCGCAGGAGTTCAAGACCACCCAGTGCAACATAGTCAGACCTCATCTCTACAAAAAAATAAAAAATTAGCCAGGCATGGTGGTGCATGCCTGTAGTCTCAGCTACTGAGGAGACTGAGGTAGGAGTATCGCATGAGGCCCAGAAGGTGGGGCTGCAGTGAGCCAAGATCCTGCCACAGCACTCCAGCCTGGGCAACAGTAGGAGATTTTCCCAAAAAAAAAAAAAAAAAAAAAAAATAAAAACCCTCCAAAAAAAAAAAAAAAAAAAAAAATTGGCCAAGCGTGGTGGCTCATGTCTGAAACTCCAGCACTTTGGGAGGCTGAGGTGAGCGGATCACAAGGTCAGGAGTTTGAGACCAGACTGGCCAATACAGTGAAATCTCGTCTCTACTAAAAAAACAAAAATTAGCTGGGTGTGGTGGCGGGCTCCTGTAGTCCCAGCTACTCGGGAGGCTGAGGCAGGAGAATTGCTTAAACCTGGGAGGCGGAGGTTGCAGTAAGCCAAGATCACGCCATTGCACTCCAGCCTGGGCAACAGAGCGAGACTCCATCTCAAAAAAAAAACAAAAAGAAAAATCAAAATAGATGAGAAAGAAATCACCATGAGAGATTGTACCACAACACAAAGAAAGGGCCTGGTTGTAGAAAATGAAACCTATATGACAAGAAGTAAGGAACTCTTGGAAGTCACCACTTCTTTGCCGTAAATAATAAATTCAATGTGAATGCTCAGCGGGGATCTATTCTCTGAAACCTCTAACCTGTGGGACCGTGGTCTCCAGATTGTAGTGCTTATTCAGGAATTTCAGCAGCTTCGGTGAGGGTCGGTCAATGGCCAGTTGGTGTGGTTCCACTCGCTCCTTCTGCAGGGAACAGGAGACTCAGGGTAGGAGGAAGTATGGGGAAAGCATGCCAACAGGAAGCCAGAAGCCTGGGAAGGGAATAGGAGGACATGGGAACATGGGAGGTGGGAGGCAGGGCTTCTGGAAAGGCTCAGGGCAAAGGAGTCCCTAGTTTGGATAAACCAGTGAAGAGATAAGAGATACCTGCAACATATACTGGAAGAGTTCTCGCCCATGGCCATGGCGTTGCACAGACTCATGAATGTAGAAATCCAGGATGCAAAGTGGTTCTACCTCATTATGAGCCTCACGATCATCCTAAGAAGGAAAAAATATGTTTTAGGCCCCCCAGCATCTCTGCTGCCTCCTAACCTCCAGCACTTTTGTTCTCAGGAACCAAGGTATACGAACTCCCAGCTTCCAATAACACTCACCAGTACAAAGAGCTTCTTGTATCCAACTTTGATGAAACCAATAATGGCTCCTTTGCCAGCCCTGTAGGACAGGGAAGATAATGAACAAGCTAGTGGTAACCAGCTGGAAGAGATAGTCAAAGATGGGGGAAGGGCCGAGGGAGGAAGGAATTAAGTATGGGATGGAAGAGCATGTGGCCACTCACGGTCGCGCCGAACTGTCTTTGAGAATATAAACAACATGGCGGTTACTCTGCATCCTCGATGCACTAGTGATGGGAGCGGAAAGATTCTGGGCCTGCAGGGAAGATTAAGTCAGACTTTCTGCAAGTCCCTCCAGAGGACCCAGGCCTCCCTTATCTACCATCCCCACAGAGGTCCCCCTTTACTCCATCTAAAAACTCTCCAGTACCTTGGCAGAAGCCTTGCCCAGTTCATCTATAATGGTCATAATTTGCTGCTGCAGATCAACACTATAAAGAGAGAGGAAATAAACAGTCAGATACTCACTGAATTAGCGGGTCCTGGGCAGTCAGTCCTGGGATCCTGGGAACCTGGGCCACAACTCCAACCCAGGTTCAACACTGAAGGCTCCCTGCCTTTGCCTGGGAGTCTTCCAATCTGATTTCCCACCCCACCCTTCTGAAACCCAAAGTTCTGTCACCCATTTCAAGGTGGCACACTCCCTCCGCCCTTAAGGTTATTGTGAGGAAGCAGAAAGGCCGGTCAACCACATCCTTTGGTTGGGACATTTGGGGCCCGGGCCGAAAGGTCACAGATCCAAGCGCTGATCAATCCCACTAGGCCCAGGGTCAGAGGTCACCAAAAAGGTAGCCCAGGACACCAAAAGGAGCGGTCACTCGTCAGTGAGAAGGGGGCGTGGTGCCTGGAACAGTTTTGGAGAGGAACCGGGAGAAAAGGGCCATGGGGCGGGTTTGAGCTGTCACCGGGCCGGCGTTGTGGTTCCGGGTCGGCGGGCTGGGGGCCTCAGGTGCTGGTCCAGCACCGTGATCCGCTCCGGGAACAGCGCGTCCACATCGAACGGGAACTCCATGGCCCATTGTGCGCGGCCGGACCCGCCCCACACGACGTCACTTCCGCCCCTCCCCTCGCCGCGCCTCCCCTCGGAGTCTTTACTTCCCGGAGCCCCGCCTGTTAGACCCTGCCCCTAGCTTCCAGGCAACTGCCCAGGGTCCGTATTTTTCTTGCCAAACCAGCTGTGTCCCTAGCAGTGCCACTCCTTCCCATCCCTGCATCCCATGGCAGTTGAGTGCCGTCGTGACCTATCTTCATTGGCCCAGTGCCTCACTGTCCAACCTTTTAGCCCCTCAGTGAACAGTGGGCCATGCTGTGAATGTGGAGTGGGGCCCATAACAGGCATCTTGACAGAGTGACACAAGTGCCCAACCCCGGTTTCTGGTCCCAGGCGTTACTGGCAAGGCTGGCTTAAGCTTAACACTCATCCCCCCACAGCACCACCCAATTTGCTTATATGAAGAACATCACTCCCCACTAATGGCATTTATCTGAAACAGCCCAAAGCAAACCAGAGACAGGAGAAAGCTTTATTGTGGAAAAGCTGAGTTGGCAGAAGTCTGAAGCAGCAACAATGTTTAGCCCAGCCCATCTATTGACAATATATAGGGGTTGGGGTTTC